ACCTGTTTGGGGGCTGGGATTGTGGCTCAGCAGTAGAGCGCTCGCCTAGCACATCCAAGGCCCTGGGTTCAATCCTCAGCACCACATAAAAATAAAATAAAGATATTGTGTCCAACTACAACTAAATAATAATAATAATAATACCTGTTCATTGGGCAGCTATGAGGATGTGTAAGCTAGTATGAGAAAAAGTCAGACCTTGGCACACAGCTCAATATCAGCAAGTGGTGCTTACAGATGCTGCTGTTGTTGGAAGATTAAAAAAAAAAAGAACTATACTTGCACATGTAATTTATGCAAAACAGCTAAAAGTACATCAATAATTTGAGAATCATTCATGGAAAATGACAGCCTTCAAGATAATTTAAAACACAGGGATAAATCTGACATATTCAAATGGCACAATTGTATGGTGTTCCCTCTAAATCACATACCTCTATTAACATTCTTAAAATTGGTAAGTAATATCTAGTGACTAGGTGTTTAAATAGAATGGTTACTGCGATCTGGCTGTAGCCTGCCCTGCAACTGTGACTGCTGACATTAATTACATTTTTATGTGTAGCATATGAATTGCACATTTTCTGGCTCTAGCACCAAACCAGATGTAGAACATTCTCTTTCAGTATGAGTAATGGAAAGAAGAATCAGTATCTCGTGACTTGGGGAGGCAGGGCTGGCGAACAGGGTGATGGGCACATCATCAGCCCTTGTTCTTTGGGGAAAGAGTGGGGTTTGATAATGAAACAAACCCTTATGTACAAGAAGCCCTGGAATTCTGACCTGTATGTAAAATGATAAAGCAGTGCTTAAGAGAGTAAAGGCAGAGTCCTCTCCTATCCATATCTGATTATCCATATCTGAATGAGGGTCTGGAATTGAGTAACTCATTTTGTTGAATATATGAAGCAATCAATGTAGACTCAAAGGTAGGATTTTCAGTGTGGAAAGGCTATAGGGGATATGAAAGGCAAGGATTGCTGACCAACTCAAGCATTCATTTGGCTAATCACTACTATTGAAATTTGAGGACAAAAAGTTTAATTCAGCTATAAGCAAAGATGTTATGTACTTCATAACAAGTGATAGATGATGATCTGAAAGTGTACATCACAAAGCTGCCTCATACAGTCTCCTTAGAATGAGAACACATTTTTTAATGTGAGATTAATGGATAATCTCAAATTGCATAATTATTACAGGTATCTGGAATTAATTATTACAATATCAATGATAATAAAGATACTAGTTACTTAGGACTTATTAAGTCTAGACACTGGGCTAAGTTGCTTTCCATGTATGACTCATGAATCCTCCATACTACTACTGGGGAATAGCTTTTTATACCTACTCTACAGATGAGGCTTATGAGGTTTACAAATACTCTCAAGTTCACATAACTACTAATGGTGGCAAAGTCAAGATTTACACCCCAAATATCTGATTTCAGAGTATAAAAGCTGAATCACTGTTATTCTGACCAACACACTTTAAAGGTCTAAGTCTAAAATAATCAAACATTTGATTGATTTTTGCTTTTTAAAATGGTTCCTTTTTTCAACCTGTTGAAAACTTTCTGTCAAGCTAGGGCAACTATGTCTGTAATCAGATCTGATGTGATTAAGACTTAAATCTTTAAGCTGTTTCCTGCCACTATGTATGCAATTAGGTATTTTTACAAGTGTCTTCTTGATAATTACATGCATTTGGACACAAGAATATCACTGGAATTAACCTGGTCCAAACTTCTTATTTGACAGAATAGTCTGAGAAAAAGAATTCTGTTATTGACTAAACTGAGTAAGATGTAGCTGTTTAACAGGTCAAAACTCTCAAGAACACAGAATTATCTAAATCTCCAAATAGACATGGGAATAGTTTTGGAAAAAAAGTGTCAGAATCCTCTCCCAAGAAAACAAGCCTTATGTCCCCAAGGACTACATAGGGGTTGTAAAAATCACATCAGACCAACTCTGATGATTTCTTCCCATTTTCAAAGAAAATAGTACTCTAATCTAGAACTATAACAATGGAAGATGTGTTTTATAAAGGAAAATTGGTGATTAAAAAAGAATAAGCAGACAATACTAGTGTTACTTTCTAATATAAAGGAACATGAAATTCTTTTGGACTTGAACAATGTAGATTTTGGCTTTCTTTGCATTCAGATGACAAATGTGTTCTAGGTTAATCAGTCTTTCTCCTTAATAACCTCTGGCTTTCTTTTTGCTTCTGCCTCTTGTTCTTCCAACAAGATGGAAAGGTGAGGTGTGCAGTCTGCTTGTTGACGTGAGGAAGGTAGAAATTGGCATCTGTAATTGTAATGAGCATTGCTTTTTCAGCTGGTCATCAATGGATAAGTGAGAGAATCAGTTGCTCTCTCCACTAAATGATAAAGTGATCAGGAATCCACTGTAAATTCTTTGAGTCTCAGAAAATCTGGACATGAGAATGCTAGATAGCAAAAAAACAGACATGTCTGTCTGTCTGTCTCCTTTCTGTAATTACTGTGCATTACCTGGATCCCTCTTCAAGAGCCAGGAATTCATTCCCCCCAAATTCTGGGAATACTGGTTCTGAAACTCACAGCTGATCCCTCTCTGGGAACTGTCTTTGGGTAGTTACCCTCTACCAAAGGGAGCTAGCCCACCCCAAGATTGTGTATCCCTTCCCAAGAGCAGTTCAAATCCAATGCCTCCAAAACAAAGGCTGGCTATGAGACAACTCCAAAGGCTATCCTGCCCCCGAGCTCTAGGTTCAGCTTCTTCCTCTGTCCAGGCTTGCCTTTTCCCTCCCTTCAAGAGTAGAGAACATTCTCTTCAATCTTGTGAATTATCTCTCAAGAGTTCAAAGCAAGTGAGCAGAAGAGAGGGAATTCAAGTCCAAATCCATTTGACTCTCATTCTCAGATTCTACCAATGTTACCAATCTCTTGACTTTGACTCTCAAATTCTTACATCTTAGCAAGACACATACAATCCCTCCTCATTTGACCATCTTTTCTGGTCTCATAAGCCATCACCCACTCCCATACAACCCCTGGCCCAATCATATCAAACCTCCCCAGAACATATGCTGTCACTTCCCTGGGAGAGCCTTTTGTCCTTGTCTGCTTGATGAATGCTTGCTTCTCCTAGAAGCCTCACTTCAAGTGTTCCCTCTTGCATGAAGCATTTCCTGATCCCTTGGTAAAGCTGAGATCCCTAGCCTTAGGCTCCCACAGTGGGTTGTGCATCTCTGGAGTGTGGTAATCCTTAATTATTATAATGAACTTCTAACAGGCAGGGACGTGTCTTTTATTTATTTTTTTTAATTTTTTAAATTTTAATATTTATTTATTTTTTTTAGTTTTCGGCAGACACAACATCTTTGTTTGTATGTGGTGCTGAGGATTGAACCCGGGCCGCACGCATGCCAGGCAAGCGCACTACCTCTTGAGCCACATCCCCAGCCCAGGGACGTGTCTTTTAACTCTGGTTTACCAGGCATTTAAAAAATGTTTTGTTAAATGGATAAATGAACTCTATTGAGGAGCTGGTCCTTTAGGTCCTGCCAGCACCTTCAAGACTAGAAAGCATCTTTTAATGTCATTCAGATTTGGATCAACTGCAACATCCTTGAAGATGAGGACTGTTTTTCTCCATCTCTATACCCTTTCTGACACCTAACATCCCAATCTCCTGCTCATGGGAGAGACTCAAGAACACCTGCTGAACCAAAGGGGGTCTCAGCAGAAAGGGCCAATGAACAAGAAAATTACTTCACTTTTCCAGCTCAGTTTAAACTCCTTTTTATAATCGCCATTACCTAAGATACTATGATATTTCTCTTCCTGTTCTCTTCTTAATTAATATGCTCCTCAGTTCCAATTTTTAAAAATTCTCCTTTGTTTGAAACATTTTTTCCCCATTAAATAGAGCACATGATAACTTAGGGCTTGCTAAATTCCATTTCTAGGTCAGAAATCAAATCTAATGTGGATACATCAGACAAGACTAAGAAGATTTCCATCTGGCCTGCTTAACACTACATCTTTGTTTTAAAGGGCCTCTTTGAAACATAAATATATCATTAATCTACAGAGTGGCTCCCTCTGCCCCATTTTCTTTCTGAAACTCATAATTACTTACTGAAGAGTAAATACAGGTATAAATATTGACACTGAATACTATTAATACAAAGCTGAGAGGGATGGGGAGGCTCTTGTCCTACAAATATAAAGAGCCAAGGACCAGTCTTACTGGGCAAGTAGCTGCAGTCTCTGTACAGGAAATGGTCCAGTTTTGTTATTGTTGTCAACAAAAATGTCCAAACAACCAAAAAATTGCCAAGAGTTGGCTGAGGCTAGCAACGATGACAAAGAGCCTTCAAGTCTGTTTTCTTTCTTCTTCTTTTTTTAATGGATTTGGGAAAGAGGAAGTTCTCTGGCGAGTAAGGAACTGAATTTTCTGTGCCCTGTGGAATTTTTTTCTCATTGCTTTCTCACAGCCCCTGCTGCTGATATGGTGGGAATAAGAAAAAATTGTGATAACATTTTTCCAAGAGAGCAGCACATGGGGTAATCTTGTTCTTCACAAGTCTGATCATGTGTGAGCCTAAGACAGAATCAGAGGTTTTTCTTTTCTCATCTTATTTTTCTTAAGCTCAGACAGTTCCTAAAGACAGAAGTGTAATTTGCAAGTACATCTTTTTCAAAATTGTGTTCACGTTGTTCAGGCCATAGATCCAGTAATTTGCTGAATATAACTATATTTAGTATAGTTAAAGTATCTAATACCATAGTATCTAATACTATATACATACCATACATGTATTATACACACACACACACATACACACACACACACATACACATAAACTATGTCTCCTCAAGGTTAACTTTTTATTCTGTGTCTTTAAAATATTCACTCCTTTAATTTTTTCCAGACACTGTTCTCACTCCTGGTTTGAGACAAGGCAGTTATCAGAAAGCATGCTGCGGGAGGATTTACTGGGTGTACCTTTTTAAACATCCTGGTGGAATCCTCACTTATCTGCATGAACCGCATAATCACATTGTTCAGATAGATGTCACTCAAGGTTGCGTGGTCTTTGCTTTCTCTCCTTACTTGGTTCAGGAGCAAATACCAGCAGTTGACTGGAGACAATAGGTTTTGGTCTTTCCTGAGAGGTGAAGAAAGACAGAGTTACTATCAGTTTCAGAGTTGCCCCAATCAGTTGAGTGATGTCACTCTGGCAAACTAAGGAGACACAAAAGATCAGGATTCTGCTCTGAGTGTTTCTTAGACCAGGACACTCAGCCCACTGAACAGTCTTTCATCCTGCACATAGCATAGAGCCAGCAATTAGTTTGCCAGGCGTGGGAGGAAAACCTTGACCATGAACACTAGTGAAATCCTGCACTCCTGACCATCTGCAGGACCCCACCATACACAGTGCTCAGGCAGCCCTTCAGCTTTAAATACACCATGGAAGAAGGCAATTTATGTTTACATAAAAATCTATTGACTACCATGCCTTAGATAGAGTGTGGTTTGCCACAGCACAAAGTCTGCTTTGAAGGTTCCGTTTGCTCTTGGAAAAGAAATTTGGTTAGTTACTCTTTCCACAGAACATGAACTTGAAGGTTATTTATTAATCCCCTGATATATAACCTTTAGCCTCCCAAACAGGGTTCCCGGGGAATCAGAGCTCTATGGCACTGTCTTGAAACTCATGAACAGAACCAAGAACTTTGCTAGCTCATGACTTCACACAAGTCCTATTGAAACCCATTAAACTTTTTCAAATTTGTAACTGCTTCTTGTTTTATTCTGGATAATAAATCCAAAAGTGACAATAAACCACTAAGGAGACGTTTTTAAGAAATTTCAAAGAAAAACTCCAAACAAAAACATAAACAACTGGGCTGGTACTGCTTAAAATAAAAAGGTAAAGCACAATTTTTGCTTTTTTGTTTTTTCACTTTAAAAACAAACTGTAAAATGGCAACGTGGCACAGAGTGTTTATCCTAACTTGGGGATACACATGCCATTTAATTGGATGTGTTATTTTATTATTCATGATCATTTATGACCCTAAACATTAACAAAGTTGGGGAAAAAATGATTATGTCAGGTGTTTGTGTCACTAAGTCTCTTAGGCTCTGGATTTAATACTGCATCAAGTCTAAACCCTCACCAGAAGAAATAGGCTTGGGGAAGAGATGAATCAGGCACTTGTCAGGTCTTGGCACTTGCACCTCAAGAGCAGCCCCTCCCTTTCCCTGTGGCACACTGAGAATTATGACCCCCACCTGGGAAACTCCCATTTATTTTCAAAGCCATCAGGGAAGGAACACTGGCTCTATGGGAGGTAACTGGAGCCACTCTATTGACATTCCCTATCTACCCAGCCACATAAGTCAATGTTACCTTCTTTACATCAACATGTATGCGTATCATTTATTTTAAAGTACTTCATAAATTCACTGAGGATGTTTCAAACTTTTTTTTGTATCTTCAGTGTTCTGCCCCATTGTGAACATTAAATCAGTATTATTCATAACAACACATTTTTGTTGCCATAATATTACTATTAGTAATAACGGGGAAGTACTGGGGAATGATATAATCCTATATCCATGTTCTAATATACCACAAAGAATCATATATATATTTTTTCCGTGTATATATATATATATATAAATTATAATGCATTAATTCAAATAATAATGCTGCTGCACACAGTGGCACATGCCTGTAATCCCAGTGGCTCAGGAGACTGAGGTAGGAGGGTTGCAAGTTCAAAGCCAGCCTCAGCAATTGTTGAGGCCCTAAGCAACTTAGTAAGACCTGTCTCAAAATAAAATATAAAAAGGGCTGGGGATGTGGCCCAGTAATTAAGTGCCCCTGGGTTCAGTACCTGCTAACAAATAATGATAATAATGATGACAATAACAACAGCAACAGAAGGGAGATCAGTAAGTAGAGTAAGCCAATTCGGGGAGGGAGAAAGAAGGTAGTGGGGAATGAGGTTGATCGAATTATGTAATGTGCATGCGCAAATATGGCTTACTGAATCCCAATATTATGTATAATTTTAATGCACCAATAAAAAATAATAAGAATGGAAGGTATCATTTACTAAGTGAGAAGCAGTATACAGGTCAAGATCACAGACTCTGGAGCAATGCTCTCTAGGTGCTTATTCCATCTACCATTTACTAGCAAAGTAGTTTGGGGCAAATGATTTCAACCTCTCTGTGCTTCAATTAATTTTGTAGAATGGGTAAAATAATAATATCATCTCATAAGATTATTATGCGGATACCTGAGTTAATATATGCTTTTAAATGCTTACAATAATGCCTCAGGCACATAGTTAGTGCTATATAAAGTTAGCTATGATTATCTAGGGCTGCTCTAAAGAGTTGACATTAATTCCACTTAATCCTTACCACTACCATTTAAGGCAGAGATTCTTTGTATCCTTTCTGTCAATGAGAGAATTGAAGCTTAGCAAGGCACTGTGATTTGATAAAGACCAAAGCTAGTGTCAAAGTGAGCCTTTGTGTTCAGGGAGGCCGATCCAAGCCTTGGTCTTTTCTGTTATGCAGTGGAAACTTCAGGACAAGGATTGTTCTGCACAATAAACATCCCCAAACTGAATAAGAGCAGACTCCAGAGTCCAGCTTCAATGAATGGTAACATTTCTGTGCTAAAGATAACAGCATTTTTTTTTTTTTTTTGCAAAGGGAAAAAGAAATGCTTTGAAGGTTCCGTTTGCTCTTGGAAAAGAAATTTGGTTAGTTACTCTTTCCACAGAACATGAACTTGAAGGTTATTTGCGCCATATTTGCGCATGCACATCCCATGTCAGCTATCAACCATATCAAGGACTTTGCCATGTTTCTCACTTAATGGTCATAAAATCTCATTTTACATATTAGGAAAGCAAGCCTCAGAAAGGGTATGTCACTTAAGCAAAGCTGCCCAGTGGAGCCATTATTCCAACCCAGGTCTGACTGACAATTTAATAAAGCCTGTCTTTGAGCTTTTCTTAATTGTAGTTTAACCTTTACACAGATTAATTATCTATTTCATTTTTTGTCCCATATTCAATAATAAACTTGATCAAGTCAAAGAAAATTTTAAGCTGCTTATCTTTTGAAGAAAACTCTCAAACAAAACCTGGAGAAACAAAAAAGTGACATCAGATTCACTAAGGGCCAGATTATGGAGCATGAGCCCATCCATATTTTCAGTTCACAATCAATTATTAAGTACAAAAACACACAAAAAAAGACACTCAGATGTATTTGTTCAATGGTGAGTGGGCAGTCTAATTTGCAATTGCTTTTAAAAAGGAACAGTTGCTATCCATGTGAATATAGTACTGGCTCTAGTCTCCTCTTTGTGGCCTCAGTGTCTGCCAGTGCATTAGACATTTGGTCACCCTGGGAATCATCATGAAGATATATTTCTATGCTGGACCCAAACTAGAGGCTAAACTCATCCATAAAAGAAGAAAGAAGAGTGAAAAAGAAAGAACAAAAAAAGATATTCCTTATCCAGAATAGAAAGCTATTTGCCTCTGCAAACGTACCCCACCCTACTTTTTATGAAGGATCTCAGGACAGGGAGGGGTATACAATGGCACTGCAAACCCAATGGTGAAGAAAAAGGCCTGGCGCCCAGCGGCCCAGCCTGAGCAGACAGCTCTCCTTGTCCCTCTGTGCAGGGGGGCAGATGGTTTATGCCCAGGTGGGATTAAAGGGTGGTACCACTGCCACTTAGGTCTTCCCTTCCCTCTTCCTTTGTCAGGCCCTAAAAATTTCCCTTGCTTTCCCATGGGGACAGCTGTACAATGAAAAAGATGCCGATTATATTTTAACCAGCATTCCCAGCAGTTTTGTGGCAGAAGTGTTTTCCAGATTATCTGGCCCACTGTATTTCCAGAAATGAAAGTCTATGTTGCCTTTTTACTATCTCCCGAACAAGGTCCATTTGTCTCTGCCCATGGGGTGCCTGGCTCTTGCCCTTACAGGGAGAGGCCCCTTGTGTTCCTTCTCCCTCTGTCTTCTTCCAGTCCATTATTCTACCTTTGGTCTTTGTCATCATTTTAAAATGCAGGTGAGGGCGGGTCCCATTTTTTACTTAAAACTCTCCAAAGGCTTCTCATGACCTCAGAATAAAATCAAAACTGCCCAGGAAGATGGTAAGAATTCCACAATCAGCCCCAATGTATGCCTGTAGCCACTCTGTTCACCCCTCACTACTCCTTCTGCTGTGGTCCCTTACCCATGAAGCTCCCCTGGCCTGAAGTCCTCCTCAGCTCCCCTTTACTGGCCAACTAGTCCTTCAGGTCTCCACTGAGATAAGGCTTCTTCCGGGACCTTCCGCCACCTCCACCATAGAGTGGATCTCAGGCTACCTGTCTATGGTGTCCTGTGCTTCCCCTGATGGAGCACTCGTACCCTCTACTGGAGCTGTGGGCCTTCTCTGTCTCCAGGATTTCAATTATAAAGTAAAATTCATTAATAGAATAACCTGCATGTGTTTGTTAAATTAATGCTAAGGTTTAGTTACGTTCACTTACACATTTTGCTAAAAGCTTTTTTTTTTTTTTGTACTGGGGATTGACTTAACAGTCCAGTTACATCCCCAGCAGTTATTATTTTTTATTTTGAGTTAGGGTCTTGTTGAGTTGCTGAAGCTGGCTTTGAACTTGTGATCCTCCTGCCTCAGCCTCCTGAGCTGTTGGGATTACAGTTGTGAGCTACCTCGACTGCTAAGCTCTTGTTTAAATCGGTTTCAACTGCAATGATCACAAACATGTTGGGTGGGTAAGGTGGGGAGTGCTAAACAAACCCTTATTGCTTCATTTCATATAAAATCATTACAGAAATCTTAAGGTCTTTGCTTGAAAAGCAGTTATTTCAAATTTGCCCTTTCAAATATCTACCTGTGACTGATTTTAACTACTAGTTTCCTGTAATCAAGAATTTTACTGCCAGGTGTGGTGGTGTATGCTTGTAATCCAGCTACTCAGGAGGCTGAGATGGAAGGATCATGAGTCAAGGCCAGCCTTGTAACATGTGAAACCCCATCTCAAAAAAATAAAAAAAAGAACCCAAAGAAACAAAATAAGAATTTTACAAACACTTTTTTTTTGTCTTCTTATATATAAACTTATCCATAAATATATGTGTATTGGAGGCTGGGCACAGTAGCACATGCCTATAATCCCAGCCTTTGGGAGGCTGAGGCAGGAGGATCATTTGATTATAGTATCATTTGAGGTCAGCCTGGGAAATTTAAGGAGACCTATCTGAAAAATAAACTTATAAAAAAGGTCTGAGATTTAGCTCAGTGACAGAGCTCTTGCCTAGCATGCCTGGGCCCTGGTACTGAAAAAAATAAATATATAATATACACACATAACACACATATTATTATAAAGGTTTTAGCAAAATGATTATGAGTGAACATAATATGAATATGTTAAATATGTATGTATGGAAACAGAATAACTTCAAGAGAATACCATTATTTTAAAATATGATAAATTGATGTCCAGGACCTATAAATGCAAAGGGTTCCTTTTATTTATAGGGATGTGTCTACCAATATCTTCTCAGATAAAAATAAAAAAGTCTTAAACCAATAGGATTTGTTTAAAAGGCTGGATATCGTCTTGAAAAGGTGCATTTGAGTCAAGTCTCTCTTACTTGTACTGCTGGTGATCCTTGGTGCTTCTCGTTTTTGCCATGAACCTTTCAGCCAACTTCTCCAGGTTCCTAGAGTATTCGGTCTCAATTTCGGCTTTTTTCCGGAAGAAATCTTGCAGGTCCTGGAGGAGCTGAACTCGCATCTCTGTTTGCTGCTCCAGGCATTTTTGTTGTTCTACCAGTTGAGCTCGGATTTCTATGAAAAGAAGAGAAGTGACTGGATGATTTCATGAAAATTATTGAGGTGTGCTGGTATGGACAAGGTACAAGGATTGAATCCTATTGTATATTTAGGTGTGTGCTCCACCTCTATTAGAGTGCTATGTCCAGGTCGGTTCCTTAAATAAAATGTCTGCTGATCCTTTAAAAGTATGAGATGAGACTTAGGAAAGAATGTAGTAAATTAGAATAGAAATGTGGGTCACATCTGTAATGCCACAAACACGCATGGGGTCATGAGGGGGAATAATTAAAGCAGATAACTATTCATAGGAGATAACATAGGACATCTTTGGTAGCTGAATACACTGTAATTTTTCCAGCAGCATTTTACCTCAACTACTTTGAGTTCAAATAGCAAAGAAATCGACATCATTCCTTCAAGATTTTTGAGCAACTACAAGATTTTTGGCACACACAGAGGCTGGCATCTGGTGCATCAACTTCTCATTTGTAAAACCCATAGCTTCGGGGATTAGTGGAATGCTGTGCCTAAACATAACTTCTTTCTATATCTAAATAATCCATTCATAATGGGGTACCCTCAGATTCTACTTTATCATTCTGTTCATAACTTCAAGGCCTATTCACTTGGCCTTCAGTTTTTTTACACATCGTTCAAACTAGCACCCTTATCAGCACATAAAAATATGAAAGAATCCTTTGACAATTTTCATATATTGGGAACAGGAAGGTTTAGTCATTTAGTTATTTTGAAAAAGCATAAAAGCAAAAATGTGGCATGCAAAAATATCTGTAAATGACTGTTACAAAGAAATGTGTGTTTTGGAAAGGGAGATACAGTAACTATAACCACTGACTTGTTTTTTTGTTCTGAGATCCAGGGCTAACCCCAAAGAAAGAATATATACTGCAAAACTTCTTTATCACATCTTCCCCAGGGTCAATGCGCGTTCCCTGTAAGAGGGCATGGAATCTAATTTGGTGGAGTTAGTAGAAATCAATGCCCAAATAATACTTCTTCAATTTCTTCCCTATTATCCTTCTTCAATGGAGAAGGACTGAGCTGACTATACATACTCATGAAGCCTATACATCCTAATCAAATCCATGATAGCTGGTGATCAAGTTCTGAGTGGAAGAGATGGTCAGGAAATTTGCTGATTTTTAACAACAGTTCATTGTAATGCAGGATTTGCTATTCTACTAGTAGGAACTAGCATCACCTTCCACTTTTACACACAGTACACTAAAATTTAATGAGATTAAACACTTTAAGAATTTTAGTTAGTAAGTAGTTCCCCCAGGACCTCCAACCTTGATCTCTGAGTTTGACTAAACAAATGCTTTCTGCCCTCCTTCCATCCATGCCATGATCTGAAGCAGTTGTACTGTGCCTGGCTTATGTCCCGGTAAAGAAGACATGAAATCGCACCCTCGATAACATTATGCTCCAGGCGGCATTCTTGTGGGGGACCAAGACAGGGAAGTATTTCCCATTTTTCTCTTGGTTTCTCCATGTCAGATTGAGGGATACTCTTACTAACCTTGCAGAAGTGTGTGGACACCAGCGTCAACACCTTATCATTGGCTTTTAACTACCATGAATTGCATCTGGTTTTCAGTCAATCAAAGTAAGTATTTTCCAATACAGTATTATGATCAGCACATCTGCCAAACTCTTTCTCCCAAAAATACAGAGCTATTTTTGTTTCATAAAGGAAAAAAAGGGGGGGGGATGGGGGGTATTTCTCATTCAGGAATTCCAGTAAGTCTTTTGAGATGAAGTAATTTTAGAACATCTTGCTGTGCTAAGAGAAAATAAATCAATCATCTTAGGCTATCAACTAGTTCTCGCTCCCCCCCCCCCACGTGTGTGTGTGTGTGTGTGTGTGTGTGTGTTTAAACTGCCTTACTGCTTAATAGGAAATAAAAGTAGCTGAGAGTACAAATCGCATCAAAAATTACATAGGTTTTCTTATTGAGTCTCATTTTAAAATATTCTTTTGCTTATTTATACCAAGATTTAAAATTAAGAACTACAGAGTTCTGAGAAGGACTGAGTTTAAACAATTAAATCCTCATCTTTGTTTTATGGAGAGTAAATGTTACTTCATGGTGTCATAATTTTCCAATCAAAGTAAAGACACTTGTAGCATTTCAATAATAGTGAAACTGTACAGTGACAGAATCTAGAGAATCTCTGTGAGAAAATAAATATGCTCTAGAATGTGGAAGAGAACCCTTTGATTAACTTTTCAATTTGGAAAAGGTTTGACAAACAAGAAAAGGATGTTTAAACAGATCATTTTTTTAAAAAAAATGATAGAAAACTACTACCTTAGGAAATACCTTGTTAGAAGGAAAAACTGGATTCCTTAGACCACATCAGAGCTACAAGGTAGCAAGTTGCTTGTGGAACTTTTAAATGAATGCATAGACGAGTAAAATAAATGTTAGTCTGCTATTAGAACAGAGAGCAGCAGTCCATGGTGCACTGAGGCCCACACCAGGAAACTCACAGTAGGGCCATAAGTGTTTGCATTAGAGGTTAGGGCTGGCACCAGTGAAACCTCAAGGAGTGATTTCTAGAAAAATAGAGTCTTGTTTCTATACCGGGGTTTGCAGCTTCCCTCCCTACACAAGATTCTTTGAAAGTCTATTAAGACCCTTTCTATCAGCTTTCTTGTATTAGTATTGATCTGGATTGTTTAAAAAAAAATTCAAGGTTCATTTTAGTTTAGTGGAACAAGCAATTACTGTGCTCCCATTTTGTGTTAGGCAGAGTCCCAAGCTATGGAAATAAAAAGATTTGTAAGACACAGTTCCATCTTATAGGGAAGATAAATCCTAGAATCATGTTACACTGTGATTAGTACAATAATAAAGGAACTATGGAAAGAGGAGCTGAAACCAGCCCACACTTAATGTTTGGAGAACATAATGCTTTGAGGAATAAGTAGGCTACAAAATATACAGCTGTAGCCACTAAGAAGATAAAAAGACACCCCACAGTATATCTGATAAAGGACTTGTAGATAGAGTACACCAAGAACTTTTGTAACTCAATAAAAACAAAAACTCAATTTAAAAAGTAGGCAAAGGGTATCAATAGATGTTTCTTCCAAGAAGATACACAAAATAGCCAATAGCATTTGAAAAGTTGCTCAATGTTATTAGTCATCGGGGAAATGCAACTCTAAAGCATGATGAGACAATCTTTCACACCCATTAGGATGGCTACAGCAAGAAAGACAATAACAGGTGCTGGGGAGGATGTGGAGAATTGGCATCCTCATACATTGCTTTTTGTAGGAAGGAAAGTGATACAGTTACACAGGAAAACTTTCTGGCAGTTGCTCAAAAGGTTAAACATGGAGTTAGCAGATGATTCAGCACTGCTACTCCTAGGTACACATCTGAGCGAAATGAAAATGTATTTCCACACAAAAAGCTGTACATGAATGTGTATAGCAGCATTATTCATTATAGCCAAAAAATGGAAGCAACTCAAATGTCTATCAACAACGAACAGATAAACAAAACATGGAATAGCCATATGATAGCCTATTGTTGAACCATAAAAAGGAATGAAATACTGATTTATGTCACAGCCTTGATGAACCCTGAAAATGTAAGCTTAGAGACTGAAACCACTCTCAAAAGACCCCATGATCTATGATTCCATTCATGTGAAATGTCCGGAATAGACTAATCCATAGAGACAGAAATATTAGTGTTTACCTAGGGTTGGTGGACTTGGGGAGAAAAGAGAAGTTACTGCTAATGAATGCAGGATTTTTGGAGGGCACAGATGAAGAAAATGATTTAAAATTGATTTTGGTAATGGTTGCAAAACTCTGAATATACCAAAAAATCTCAGAGTTGGTAAAGTATCTAATATGTAGATTATATCTAAAAATACCTGTTATATTAAAAAAAAAGCTATATTACAATTCCATAAAATTTTAGTTGTTGATAAATTCCTGTTTAATGATGGTCATCATAATAATAAAAACAAGTTCACATTTCCATGCCTAGGATGTTTTGGATACTTTTTTGTCAAATTAGATAATATATTAATAAGCCCTTTTAAATGATGTCTGCATAAAATGACTCTCACCTCAATATTTTTATTTCATCTTGAATTTATCTGTAAACAAAACAGTAAATCTATTTATTGGCCAACATCATCTGTATATTAATTGCTACAATGTCTAATGGTATGGAAAAGATTTTCCAAACAGAATACTAGAAAGGGCTTCCACCATCACTCCCACATACCTGCATAGAATGGTGCAACATCTTTCAGGCAGAAAAATGTGAACTTGGAGAAGGCTGAGAGCAGACATTATTTGAAATCTAGGTCAAGACCCACTAAATAATCATAATGGTTGTTATAATGGGGGCTCAAATTTCTTTGTAAAAAAAAAAATGACTGTTAAGTCTTTCCTGTTTTACTAGAGTATCAAACAGAATCAATCAACATCAATAATTGAACAAGAACTGGGGCTGGGATTGTGGCTCAGTGGCAGAGCGCTTGCCTAGCATGTGTGAGGCACTGGGTTCGATCCTCAACACCACATGTAAATAAATAAAAAATAAAGGTATATCAACAAAATATTTTTAAAAAATAATTGAATAAGAAAAACCTACAAGAGCGTGATTTCAAACAATAAATAAAATAAATAAAAATAATGTTCCTCAAAGCTATAAAATGACTAATCCAATGACTAATACTTACTTAATAAAATGGAATTGCCCAGAAATAGAGGAAATGGTGGAGTTTCTTGTTACTGCTCCAATAAGGGAAGTCTTAATTCTTAAAATAAATTGGTGCAAGACCACAGAATGATGTAAATGGCATGGAAAGACAGGTCTTGCCTGGCTGTTTCTTGAATGTGTTACTGAATGAACAAGTAAGACCAGGGCATGTAAGTGATAGGCTTCTGTGATCCTCTTAACCATCTAGGAAATAGTAGCTCTAAAGCATCACAAACCATCTCAGTTATTTCA